CTGTAGGGGGGGGCTGCGGGCTGCAGGTCCCTCTGAGCCGGGCCTGCCTTGACCCCGCACCCATGCATGTGATGGCAGCACCCTCTAGTGGCTGTAGTCTGCAATAGCAGTTATGGCTCACAGCCCACCCCCCCACAGTCCCCACGCGCTCCCCCCTGCTGCCCCCCTGTCCCCACGCTTCCCCCCACTACCCTCCAGTCCCCACGCTCCCTCCTGCTGCCCCCAAAGTCCCCACGCTCACCCCTGTCCCCACACTCACCCCCCCAGTCCCCATGCTCCCCCCCCTGCTGCCCCCCAAAGTCCCCACGCACTCCCCCCTATTGCCCCCCCATCCCCACGCTCCCCCCCCTGCTGCCCCCCATCCCCCTGCTCCCCCCCCGCCGCCCCAGTCACGATCTCTGTCCTCCCCCCTCCCCCCCAGGTGGTCAAGCAGGAGGAGTTCTTCAACCTCTCGCACTGCCAGCTGGTGACGTTGATCAGCCGGGACGAACTGAACGTGCGCTGCGAGTCCGAGGTCTTCCACGCCTGCATCAACTGGGTGCAGTACGACTGCGCCAGCCGGCGGCTCTACGTGCAGGCCCTGCTGCAGGCCGTGCGCTGCCACTCGCTCACCCCCCACTTCCTGCAGACCCAGCTGCAGAAGTGCGAGATCCTGCAGTCGGACTCGCGCTGCAAGGACTACCTGGCCCAGATCTTCCAGGAGCTCACCCTGCACAAGCCCACCAAGGGCATGGTCACGCGCGCCCCCAAGGTGGGCCAGCTGATCTACACGGCCGGCGGGTACTTCCGCCAGTCGCTCAGCTACCTGGAGGCTTATAACCCCTCCGACGGCTCCTGGCTCCGGCTGGCGGACCTGCAGGTGCCCCGCAGCGGGCTGGCCGGCTGCGTGGTCGGGGGGCTCCTCTACGCCATCGGGGGGCGGAACAACTCGCCCGACGGCAACATGGACTCCAACGCCATCGACTGCTACAACCCCATGACCAACCAGTGGTCCCCGTGCGCCCCCATGAGCGTGCCCCGCAACCGCATCGGCGTGGGCGTCATCGACGGCATGATCTACGCCGTGGGCGGCTCGCATGGCTGCATCCACCACAACAGCGTGGAGAGGTGACGTGGCCCCTGCATGCCCTGGGGTGGGCCGCAGCAGTCCCGGACCCCCCACAAGCCAGTGACGGAGCCCAGGAGTCCATGCTGCTGCAATGAGGGTGGTTGGGGCTGGTGCCTCGTGCGAGTCCCTGCCCCAGCCTAGCCAAAGGCTGCCCAAGGACCAGCGGCACCGAGGGGGACGGGAGTTGCCCAGGGTCTCCCCCCGGGGCAGTGCCACTCCACCCCCCATGCTGCCTCCCCCGTCGCCTTGGCTCGGGAGCAGGGAGCTTTGCCCGGTGCCCCTGGTCCATGCCGCTCCCCGCGCACCCCCTCTGGCCGGTTGCCTCCCCTGGTGTCCAACGTTGCCCTCTGGCCCTGCAGGTATGAGCCGGAGCGGGACGAGTGGCAGCTAGTGGCCCCCATGCTGACACGCAGGATCGGCGTGGGGGTGGCCGTGCTGAACCGCCTCCTCTACGCCGTGGGCGGCTTTGACGGCACCTGCCGGCTCAGCTCGGCCGAGTGCTACTACCCGGAGCGGGACGAGTGGCGCATGATCGCCCCCATGCAGACCATCCGGAGCGGAGCGGGTAAGTGAGGGGCAGGACCTGA